ACTTCGGTTCAAATTTCTGAAAATTTCATCAAACTCTATATTGGGTGTACCAGCAAGATGGGGGGGGGGGACTGTTACGCCGTGGCGGAGGTTTGCTATCTCCGATTGCTCTCTTTTTGTGTTTATAGTTACTCTCAAGGAGGATCTCAAGTTTGCGGAGACTGCTCTTGTGCATCTCAAACTGGCCCTCTACGTCTTCCAAGACGCGGTAAGCAGGGGTAGAAATTAACTTTAGAACACGGGAGTCCGACGGACTTCCCTACCCTCAAAAAGAGGGAGTCCGTAGCAAAATGAGGGAGTCCGCAGTCTGAGGTTCAAAATTAAAGATATTAACAATAACGCGTGTGCTTATGTTTAAGATTCATGCGGTTGCACGTCTGCCAAAATGTCTTTGGACATTAGCTGGAAAAATACGGTAATTCCGCGAGGCCTTGCTCTGGAACAAACTAGTTAGTATGGCAGATTTTTCAGGGAGTCACACGGACTTCCAGTCCGACAGTAAATGAGGGAGTATTTGACTCCGGACTCCCGTTAATTTCGCACCCTGGGTAAGATACGAGCATGCTCTGCTGTGCTGCTGCGCTACTGTAATGTGTAAGCAGTGTTTCCCCGGCATTGACACGGGCGAAGCGGCCCACCTCGCTCAAATTCTCAGCCGCCACACAGATTTGTCCAATTTGTCCAAAACACCGCTTCGCTGACGAAAATCTCTGTTCTTCCATCAATAAACTACACTTTATTGAACTAAAGTCTCACACAATGTGTTCAGGGTAGCTTAGAATGCACCAAATTGCACTCTTTTTCAAAATTTGATCCTCCGGACCCCCCTAGCTGGGCGAGCACCTGAGGTACTCGCTGTGCTAGGGCCTCGAAACACGCAAACACACCCCCAAAAAAATTACCACCTCACAGAGCTTTTCGGCCTGCAGGGGGAGACACTGTGTAAGTGCTGACACTGTGTTATAAAAGGTTATTAATTTAATTAAATTTAATTAAATCAGTTTGATGTTAGCTGGATGACAATTTGAATGTTATCTGTTAATGAGGTAATCATCACAGGTGCATGAATTACCTGTTACATGTTAATGTGTTACGTGTTACAGGCTGGAAGAAGTACCTATTGTAGGTTAACGAGTTACTGGTGACAGGTGCTTGAGGTATACCTGTCACATGTTAATGTGTTACGTGTTACAGGTTAATGAGGTACCTATTGTAGGTTAACGAGTTACTGGTGACAGGTGCTTGAGGTATACATGTTACATGTTAATGTGTTACGTGTTACAGGCTAAAGAAGTACCTATTGTAGGTTAACGAGTTACCGGTGACAGGTGCTTCAGGTATACCTGTTACATGTTAATGTGTTACGTGTTACAGGTTAATGAAGTACCTATTGTAGGTTAACGAGTTATCTGTGACAGGTGCTTCAGGTATACCTGTTACATGTTAATGTGTTACGTGTTACAGGTTAATGAGGTGTTGAAGCAGCACAGCATCAAACCACACTGGATGTTTGCGTTGGATAATCTCGTGCGAGGTGTCGTCAACGCTGCCATGCAGGTGCTCGTGCCAGGTACACTGCACGTTCTCCTGGAATTTGTAGTATTATAAATTTATGCTAATTCAATGTATCAATCGTTTTGATGAACGAACTCAAGC